GAATTTAAGAAACGGTGGACCCAGTTTGTGAATGTCACCTTTCCAGTGGCATCCGCGACCGTGAGGATTGCATATGTGTTTTATGGACCTTACGTCAATGTTTCCAGCTGCAGATTTATTGACAATTCCAAGTCTGGGCTTCAACTCTCTCTCAGTGTCAACAGTACTGAGCACATTGTTTCCATTGTAACTGACTACCATCACCTGAAGACCAGGTTCAGTTATTTGGGATTTGGTGGCTATGCCCACGTGGCTGACGAGAGCCAAATCACGAGATTTGGTTTGGGCACACAAGCAGTGGTAAAGCCCATAAAACATGATAGAGTTATTTTCCCCTTTGGATTCAAGTTTAATATAGTGGTTGGATTGATTTTGTGTGTTAGTCTGGTGATTTTAGCTTTCCAGTGGCAATTTTACATTTCTTTCCGAAAGCTGATGCGGTGGATACTAATCCTGGTTATCGCCTTGTGGTGTATTGAACTGCTGGATGTGTGGAGCACTTGCACTCAGCCCATCTGTGCAAAATGGACAAGGACATTGGCCAGCGCAGCCAGGAAGGCCCCTTCGTCTGAAGAGCACCACGTCAGTCTCCCCAGTGTTGTCATTACCTCACTTCCTGGCTCAGGAGCTGAAATCCTCAAACAGCTGTTTTTCAACAGTAGTGATTTTCTCTACATCCGGGTCCCTACGCCCTATATTGATATCCCAGAAACAGAATTTGAGGTTGACTCCTTTGTAGATGCCTGTGAGTGGAAGGCGTCCGATGTCCGCAGTGGTCATTTTCGTTTACTCCGAGGCTGGTTGCAGTCCCTAGTCCAGGACACAAAACTACATTTACAAAACATCCATCTGCATGAACCCAGTAGGGGTAAACTCACCCAATATCTTCCAGCAAATAAAGACAGAAAAAGGAAATCGAAAAGGAGAGAGTCTTTGCAGGAACAAAGAAGTAGAATGAAAAGCACCTTTGACAGAGACGCTGAATATATTAGGGCTCTGAGGAGACACCTGGTCTGTTACCCTAGTGCACGACCTGTGCTCAGTTTAAGCAGCGGGAGCTGGACGTTAAAACTTAACTTTTTCCAAGAAGTTTTAGGAGCTTCTTTGAGGGCACTGTATGTAGTAAGAGACCCTCGAGCTTGGGTTTATTCAGTACTGTACAGCAGTAAGCCAAGTCTTTACTCCTTGAAGAATGTGCCGGAGCACTTGGGTAAATTGTTTAAAATTGAGGATGGTAAAGAAAAGTGTAACTTAGATTCGGGCTATGCCTTTGAATATGAATCGTTGAGGAAAGAGTTTTCAAAATCCCAGTCAAATGCAGTCTCCCTGTTGTCTCATCTCTGGCTAGCAAACACAGCAGCAGCCCTGAGAATAAACACAGACTTGCTGCCGACTAGCTACCAGCTGGTCAAATTTGAAGATATTGTGCATTTTCCTCAGAAAACCACTGAAAGGATTTTTGCCTTTCTTGGAATTCCTTTGTCTCCCGCTAGTTTAAACCAAATATTGTTTGCCACCTCTACGAACCTTTTTTACCTTCCCTATGAAGGGGAAGTATCACCAACTAATATTAATATTTGGAAACAGAACTTGCCTAGAGATGAAATTAAACTGATTGAAAACATCTGCTGGACATTGATGGATCGTCTAGGATATCCAAAGTTTCTGGACTAAATGCTGCAGGTCAGCATACATTTGCACTAATGCTTTTCAACCCAGTTTGTGGATATGAATTAGAAGAGTTTGTTTATTCTTGTATTCTGTGTGTATGTGTGTGTGTGTTTTCAGTCTGTTACTCGCACAGGGAAATTATTTTAAGAATAGACCATATTTGGCCGAGCATGATTTGTTTTTATCCACCACTTTCCTTGCCTTTGCTTCTAAATTTATTATTTTTTTTTCTCTGCTACAGAAGTGCAGATGAAGTTATATCACGGGGGTCAAGGGAGATGGAAAGATTTGAAAGGCTTTTGTCTAAATTTCCTTCATCTTTAACTTTTCTATCTTGGGACCTCAAACACTGCTAAAAGGCCTTGTAGTTACTGCTTTACCCAAGTATCTTTTGCTTTCAGGATGAAATACAAAAAGATCTTTATCTTTTTTTCTTAAAGGTCTTCTAAGGTATTTATCTTGGGCTGTACTTGCACACACACTGAAAGCCTTTTACTGTCTGTGATATTCAATGGTGATATCACTGCAGGAGTATTGAAAGCTTCTTTCAAAACTATAGGATTCCTCCTTGGAAGTACAGAATAGATAAAATTGATTGAGGTCAGAAATAATGACCTTTTAATTAAAACTGTTCCCTTTTTCTGACTGCAAAACCCTAGGAACTTTCCTTGGAACAGTGTGGGTTCCCCTGGTTGGTGGGTTATCTTAGTTATCTTAGTTATGCTTCTGTGTTTAAATCTTTCCCCTTCCCCGAAGCCATAACTGATCATCATCATCCAGTCCTTTTCTGTGTCAAGAAAAAGATGTGGTTAACTGATAACTAAACTTCCAGTACTTGTGAGGAACTTCCTCCCCACCTTGAGTATTAATTTTGCAGGAAAGCCTAACAGATTCAGAGTCAGATTTCTTTCTGTGGAGTTATCACTGTATGACTCAAACATTGCCTCTGCTGCCAATGTTTTTTTTAGACTGGATACAGAATTGGAAAACTGCCTGGCTATCTTGCATCCATTTGAATGAGTTCACAGACAGACTACCAGTGTCTGCAAAAGTTGAAGGCACATGGGAGATGATGTCAGAGGCATCTGTTTCCTGTACCATCTGCATCTTATTATACATGTAGTCGTCATAAAATGTGGTTCATTTTATTTTTGTAGGCTCTGGAATCAAAATGTGATACCATTATAAGCCAGTGGGTAATCACAGTGCATTGGGTGAAAACTATTAGGCAGTCTCAAGACTTGACAATTTCTGTACAGATTGTAGTTTTCCTGTTGTTTTGAACTGTACTTCCTCTAAGCTCTCTAACACTTGGAAATCTTTCTGACCTAGATAAAAGTGATTCTTTCTCAGTAGTTTGTTATGTCAAAATGTGCCTCCAGAGTGATAAAGCTGTGGACATGTTACATTCCAGCAAAACCTAACTTGGTTGTTATTTTTCTCCCATTAGAGTATGAATGGAGACTGCCCCCCAGCCTCGGCTCCCCCCTTCCGGTAGCTCCCACTTCTTTCCCTCTGTAATGTCAAGTTGAATGAAAATCACATTGTATGGGTTGAGAGGGCACTGAAGTCTTCAATCTGTGCTGTTCTCTAGGAAGATTATTCTATCTCAAGGTTATCAACAAGCTTGTAAAATTGCTACATGGATGATAACACTTTCCATTATTGGCCAGAGTCTCAGTGTTTGCTTTCACTTCCCGGAATGTGTCATCTTGGATCCAATCAAATAAAAAACTTCTCAGTTGGCAGAGGTATTAGGTCTGATCAAGGTAAGAATTACACATGTGTGAAGGGAACAGGAAAACAGAAGCTACCACTGCCTGCTAACATTGTGCAGAAACACACTTCCCGGCAGACGAGAGCCTGGATGAGACTGGAGGACAAGGTCGGGGAAAGAAGAAGAAGGAGCCCTGATGAGAGTGAATAGAAGGCGTGTGCTTGCAAAAACGATGTTCCCAGTGCAGCCTGACTTAGACCACAGAGTGGAATTTCCCCAGTACCATGCCCACCCTTGGGAGAAATGTCAGTATCTCCTCCTACTTTGTTCATACTCAAATGAGAAGTTTGAGACAGAAGACTTCCTGCCATAGATTATCCTGTGAGGAATTGTTGGGAGCCAGGGATGCATAGATAGGTGTGCCTGTCCTTCTCTATAACCCTTGCCCTGTTGTCTGCGTAGCTGAGGTCACCAGTGCTTTCCATTGCATGCCTGGGTCCTTGAGAGGTCAGGGTGGTATCCAGGGAGTGGTTCAAGTACTTTCCACACTGATGTTTATTTTCATCATCTTGAAAATAGGTAAATGGGGGATTTTCATTAGTATCTGACATATATAAGGGAAATAATTAACAAAATGACCTATTTGTAAAATCAATCTCTTCATTAACTTCCCTAATTTTAGGTCTAATTGAGATCAAATCCTCAGATCAGTAGCATTTAGACCTTGGGTTTTGAAAGGATGTGCTAATTTCCTGACAAAAAAATAAGTGTGAATATAGGTACCTTGTGTTTTGAAAATCTCAAAATGCAAATCTATCTACTTTTAGGGTGAAGCAGAAAGGCCATAGCCAGAGGTGAATCTGAATAAGTGAAATGTTCAGAGAGGAGAGGAGATAGGAGCATCACTTCTTCAGGGAAAGGAAGCTAAATCTAAACATTCTTTAAATTGTAGGAGTCACAGATTTTAACAAGATGATCTGAAAAGGTATGTCTACAATGTCAGTCTGGAGATTAAGGTGTGCATGACACAGGATGTAGTCTTTGCCATCACTTGCTATGCTTCAGAGAGCTGGACAATGAATAGGGATGATAAAAGGAGAGTTGATACCTTTGAGCTTTGGTGATGGAGAAGAGTGTTGACTATATCATGGACAACTAGGAGAACAAACAAGTTTGTCCTGGAGAGGGTGAAGCCAGACTGCTCCTTGGAGGCAAGAATCCTGAGGCTTCATCTGACATTGGACATGTTGCAAGGAGGGACCAATCTTTGGAGAGGGACATCATGCTTGGGAGGGTGGAGGGACAGCAGAAGAGAGGAAGACCCTTGATGAGATGGATTGATTTTAGTCACTGGGGTGATGGGGATAGGTGAGTTGGAGACAATAAGATTGGCAAGGGATAGATCAGGGTTTAGGGCTGTTGTACATAGGGTCACTATGAGTCACAAGCAACTCAATGGCACATAACAACATACCAAAATATGAAATGTTCAGTTGGGATTTTTCATTAATCTTTTTTAAAAACAGAGTTAATAAGTGCTGGTAAATGGGCTGACAGGGCAGTACTTGGCAGTAGTAGAATTTGCCTTCCATGTAGGAGGCATCTGGGTTTCTGGCCATTGTACATGGTGAGCACCCACCACTCTTCTGTCCATGGGGATTGAATGTTCATCTGATGGACAGGCTTCAGCCAACTACATTGACTACCACGATTGTCAGTCGGGATAGGGCATAAGGGCCACCATGGTCAGAAACCAGCCCCACAGCAACTAGAAATCAACAAAAAGGTGTAATAGTTGTGTCAAATGCAGCGTAGGGTTGACAAGGCTAGCAGCAGTGCAGCATCACCTGTGCAGATGCATTCAGGGACCTTTCCCTTCTCCGTGCGCACAGAGCAGCGAGTGGGAACCTTAGTGGAAATGCTGCCTTCCTCAAAGCCACACACTTTGAGTTGACGTTACTCATCTGTGCAGACTAACACTTTCTTGGTTTATATGGTATGCTGTTGTTGTGCACAGTTGAGTCGGAACCGACCCAAAGCCAACCCTCCAGAGGGATTTCAGAGGCAGTTAATCAAGTGGGAGGAGATTGCTCATCTCTCTCCTCGGTGCAGCTAGTGTATTCAAACCATGTGCCTTTGGGATTGCAGCACAGCTTCTTAACACGACACCACCAAAGTATAGGTACTCAATTTTAATTGAGTAGACATTGAAATACTGAGCATTTTGTAATAAAAAAATAGGTAATATATTAAAACCTCACTTGCAGAGGTTATGGTACCTCAGATTCTAGAGTCTATCAGGAAATTTAATGTGTGAAGTATTTACTGCATCATTTAAAATTTATAGTGTGTGCATTACATCTAAAATAGCTAAAGCTTTTCCCCCTTCTTTTTCCCATTGACTGAAAAGGTACCAGGTAACTTTATTCAGGCAGGAAAACTAAGTAACACTTTTCGAACAAAGGATGATTGGAACTATAGACAATAGGTTTTAACGCACTCTAATCAGCAGATCTTGGAGGTACAATTTACACTGATTTGTGTTCTGTTTAGGCCAGTTGACAAATATATCTATGACTAATTGGTTCTTTTACAAAGATGTTGTTGTTGTTATGTGTCGTCGAGTAACTTGCGACTCATAGCGACCATATGTACAACAGCCCGAAACTCTGCTCTGTCCTGTGCCAATTGCATCATCTCAGATACACGCATCCCGATTACCCCAGTCACTGAATCAATTCACTTCATAGGGGGCCTTACCCTTCTGCGCTGTCCCTCCACCCTCCCAAGCATGATGTCCTTCTCCAAAAACCTGTCCCTCCTTGCAACATGTCCAAAGTATGTTAGATGGAGCCTCAGAATCCTTGCCTCCAAGGAGCAGCCCGGTTTGACCCTTTCTAGGATGAATCTGTTTGTTTTCCTAAACAAACCAGTCCATGGTACCTAAACAAACCAGTCCATGGTACCCTCAATATTCTTCTCCAGCACCACAGCTCAAAGGCATCAATTCTCCCTCTATCCTCCTTAGTCATTGTCCAACTCTCTGATGCATAACAAGTGATAGCAAAGACGATAGCCTGTATCAGACGCACCTTAGTCTCCAAAGATACGCCATTGCTTTTCAGTACTTTGGAAAGGTCTCTAACAGCAGACTTTCCCATGGCTACTGGTGCCGAGAGTGTTGACTGTGGAGCCAAGCAAACTGAAGCTGTGAACAATCTCAATCTCTTCACCATAGGTTCAGATAGTTTGCAAAGCGTGATTTGACTTATGTTTATATTGGTTTTCTTTCACTCCTTAGGCACT